GTCCGCCGGCACCAGTTTCGGCCCGAGCCGGCGAAAAACGGGTTTCTGGGGGGGACTGGGCCGTTTTTTCGGCGCCGACGCGGCAAAAACGCCCGGAAAGGACCTGTTGGGGGCCCGGCTGGAGATGCTCTTACATACAATACAATGTTCAACTTCTTCAGCCAAAAAATCATCGTTACAAATAATGTGTACTTAAGGTATCTCCAATGACGACTCTCAAACCGACCGCATACATTTAGACCGTGCGGTCCGGGCGTCTTGTGCCATCCAATACAATCCTGCATCGGTCCAAAGGGGTCTGGACGTATTTTCTCCCGCAAACCGAAGACAAACATGGGGGCTTTGCGGGCATCCGAACAACAGCCACGCCCGCTTCTGACCACCATGGCCCACCCCAAACCATCCTTCCTCGCCTGCGCGCGTTCTCATCCAGCTGCCTGCATTCATGCCAATGTAGAGCGTCCGCTCCACATTGAATCCGGCTTTAGAGCATACGCGATCTCTCACTGCCTCCTTCATTGAAGCGGCGTGCCGATCGAGGGTGCCGCCCACGACACGTCCTCGATGTCCGCACCTGTTCAGTGTCAGGGACACGTTACTGGACGGGACGAGACGGATATCTACCACGCCCGTTCAATGCCCCGTTCGTCCGTATGCCGCGAGTAAGCAGGCTCATCGCCCAAGAAACCTACTTCGGCGCCACGCATTGACGAACCCGAACGCCTGGCCTAACAGGAATCCCCTACTTAAAGGCGGCCAGAACCGCCTAACTCCACGCCACAACACAAGCCGCTCCACATCCTCCTCCCTTGCACTGCATCCGCCATGACTGTAGGCGACAAAGCTCTGTGAGAGAGCCTTTCCACGGAGATGAAGCAAGAGGTGGCCTCCCTTGCAGCCGCCTGGTAGAGCCGCCGTGCCAAGCGGATCGAGGCCGACTTGTCGGCCAGCTCGCCTGAGGTCTTCGACGACGAGGACGACCCCACGATGGCAACGGGCTCCGACGACATCGTACCGGAGCCCGCGCATGTGCACGCCGGCTTCACCATAGAGCAGGCGCATGCGCACTACAACGCCGCCATGTCGGAGGTGCAGTCTACGCCAGTGTCTATGTCGGCGTTACAACAGACACAAAAGGAACAACGGTGCAACCCGTTCCTCCTGGAGCAGCAACAGCCAGCGGAGGGCCAAATATACGGGGATCACGCGAGCGAGGAGGCCGTGGAGGCCATGGACGCGAAGAACCCCAACTTCGTCGCGGATCAACGTGTGATCTACGAGGTCGTTCGTGCTCAAGCCACCACTCGTCAGAAAGCGGCCACCGCGAAGGCGCATCTGCAGGCGATCGCGAAGGAGAACAACACTAGCTACGCCTTCTAGCCCTGACGAACTATCAGGCGGCCCGGCGGGACGACGATAGCACATGCGCCACCATTTTCATCATGGACCTCATGTCCACCGGCAGCGAACAAGGTGTGGACTCCTTCGAGGATGAATAGGGCACGGATGGCGGCAGGGCCTTGTGTCTCATGTGGGCCGGTCCGTCTCCCGTGTTCTACTCTTCCTCACCGAAGACAGCAGCTTCACTTTATCGGTCTTATCATTGGTGCTCATGAAGACGACATATGTGGTCTCAGGAAGGGAACAACGAGGGCTTGGACACCGGTTTGCATGAATGACATCCGGTTTATATGAAATCCGCCGTGTTTGCACAAATTTCATCATGTTAATTCATAAAATTGTTAAAATATATGCGGCCAACGTTGAATGGCGGTCTTCTGTATCTGTGTCCATAAACTAATCCCCATCTGCGGATGGATGCGGGAGTAAATTTGCTGCCCTTACCTTTCCTTTACATAACGGCGTCCCTCATTTTATCTACGGGAAGTTGTTCCGGAATACTCTTTTGTGGCTGTAGATAAAACCACAATACCGCATTGAACAAGGCTATACTGTAAATCGGGCCTCAAATCAACCATCATTAAGACATTAACAGAGACATAAGAGAGACTTTAGTGGACACCACGACGATGGCCACATGTATTGCTATCAAAGCATCAATCGATCTTCATGGCGTCCATGATGTTCTTGCCGTCGAGCTTGCTGGAGACCACGAGCTTCACATACTCCTCGACGCTGATACTCCTGTACCGCGGCTCCTTGTCTCCGACGGCCTCCTCCAGCGGCCCGTACATGGTGCCGAACTTCCCGCTGTGGAACGTCGCGATGGACATCCGCTCGTGGCGTGCGTTAACCACCGCCCTGTGCTCCACGCTCCTGTACTTCCCGTTGGTGAACACCTCAATCACGTCGCCGACGTTGACGACGAGGGCGCCGGGGAGCGGTGTGACCGGGACCCAGCCGCCTTTCCGCCTGATCTGCAGCCCGGGGACCTTGCTGACCTGCAGCAGCAGCGTCAGCCCGACGGCGTCCGAGTGCGGCGACAGGCCCAGCACGCTGTCCACATGCGCCTCCGGGCAAGGCGGGTAGTAGTTCATCCTCACTGACTGCGACGCCGCGAGCCTCGTCATGTCCGAGTGGTCTCTCACGCCCAGGTTCTCCGCCATGGCTCCCAGCAGCTCGCCTGCAACCCTTTGCACCTCTGCAGAGTAGTTCTCCAAGCAATTCCTGCCACAGCAAACAAATCAACATCTTACAACGGTGGCTACCTGCGGAAGCTTGACGATGATATGATTTTCTTATGTCAGCTGATTGTCCATGGGTTTTACTTACTTGAATGTGGAAGGGTTGGACGGCCAGAGGCGGAGATCGCGGTAGCTGGGCGGCTGCGTGAGGAGGAAGAACATGTCCGCCCAGTCGAGCGTCTGCTCCTCCGAGACGACGAACGCCTGGCCGTACCCCTCGATCTCTCCGGGCCGCTGCGCAAAGGCCGCCTTCTCCGCCAGCGGGAGCGCGAAGAATCCCATGACGTTCCTCTTCATCTCCTCCAGGGTCTCCTCGGGTATCCCGTGATTCACCACCTGGAAGAACCCCCAGTCCTCGCAGGCCGAGCGCAGCCTGGCGGCCTCCTCGTCCCGCCCGCCGGCGAGGTCGTCCGGACCGAGGAGCCGGCCGAGGTCGATGATGGGGACGTGCTCCTGTTCTTCGCCGGCAGGGGCGTCGGGGCGCAGGTCGGCCGTGTTGGGCTGAGGCCGCACGTAGCGACGGAGGAGGGTGGGCGTGAGCGTGAGCTCGTCGGGGCGGCCGGCGAGGTCCTGCACGTTGGGCACGGGCAGCGAGCCGCCAAGGTTCCGCGGCTTGGGGTCGGCCATCAGATCAGATGAGGTTGATAGATTATTGTGCTTGCTGGCTGCTCATCTCGTCAGTGATTTATCTTGCAGTTGCAGGTGAAAGGCGGCCGGCACGTTTGTCTTGTCCGGGGTCCTGTGCTTGTGGCGTTCGCCACGTTGAGGAAGGAGACGAGATCGACCAACAAAACTGCGAGCTGGAGTATATTGCAATAGCTAATTGAGCTGTTGTGCAAATGCCAATAGAAAAAGTCTGAGATACCGACGCGGCAGCTACCACTTTGTTTGCTTGTAAAGAGGGGAAGGGAGTATCTAGAAGGAACATAATTGGTTTGATACCAAAAATTGGTTGATATCAAAAGTTGGCAATACCAACATTTGGCAAATGCCAAATATTGGCTAGTGCTTGGTTGGCTACCATGTTTACTTGCCAATCTCACAAGAAGTTGTCAACTTTTGGCAACTTTTGATATTGCCATTTTTTGTACAGTTAAATTTCACTATGAAAACAACTTTAAACGGTGCCCCTTAAAACAAGACAATGCATTTATTTCACTATATCTTTTGAATAAAATCAGTGAAATAATGAGTGTAGACAAGTGATACAAAAGAAATGTTCAGGCATATCAAAATGAATATCCGCGTATTTCAAAATAAACGTTCATGTATTTAAAGGAAATATCACGTGAAAGGAAAATTATTGTCTTGCAAAAAGAAATTTCACGTGTATCAAAATATGTTCTTATACTTCAAAAGAAATGTCCCTGTGTTTGAAAATAGATGATGTATCTTAGGATAAATATTCATATATCTTAAGTAAACTTGAACATGTTTAAAAAACACATGTTCCAAAAGAATTATCTCTGTATCTCATACAAAATATTATTGCATTCATGAAAACAAAGAATAAAAATGTAAATGGTAAATGATTTTAAAATAGGGTAATATAAAAAAGAAAATAAATGTGAAATTAGGGAAAAGTCAATAGAAAAAATATTGATATTTTACCCCCCTAATTGTTTGTTTCTACAATTTGGGGGGGGGGGGGGTGATATGAGTCTGACACGGTCATTTATAAGTAAAAAACAATGTATTTGCCATTTTGGCCGTTCTTTGAAAACGCGAAGAAAATCGATCGATTTAGACTTTGAAGAAAAGATGAAGAGGCGAAGTGTGCATGAAGCTTTGAGGCTGATAGTGGGGTGACATGGCCGGCTGTGGTGTCACTAGCGTAGGCAAGGACGCTGTTTCCAAGGTGCGGGTGGTGGGCTTTTCGATTTTGACGCCACTTATATTGGATGGCAACCTCGCTGGAGGTGGGGACGATTGGTCCATTCTGCAGATAAAGGACCCAGAGGCAACAATGTTGACATCGGGAGCAAAACTTCTCAAGCAGCTTGCAAATGAGGTGTTTCGTGCTTCACAAGGATGGAGGACTGGAGTTCTTTGACTCAGTGGCTGATTTCAGGGTCGAAGGCGGGAGGGAAACTTTTGGTCTATGGATGTATATACACCCTATATGAAAGCAATAGTAATTAAATAAAATGTCAACAAATTCTGATAATATTTTTGAAATAAACTTGACCTTCCATTGTACTATAAAATATTCCATAAAAAGAAAAAAATCTCGTTGACTTCATTTAAAAAAGAGAAAATTTTCAATCAAAACAGTGTGAATAGTGACCTATAATAACAAATAAATTTTGTTTTTTTGCCCTAAAGTCAACCGTGGATTTCTTTTCGTGAAAATTTATATACTAGTGCAAAAGAAAGTCAAGTTTTTTTATAAAAAATCCAAACTTTTTTGAGTTTTTTAACTATTATTATTATTATTTTCTATATGGAGTGTATATAGACCCAGAAACCAAAGGGTATTTCCCTTCAACATCGCTAGTTCTGGAAGTTAGATTATTTGGTTTAGCTCCAAGGTGATTCTGTTCCATTGCACAATTTTTTACAAATCAAGAACATTTTGTATATACAGGTTTAACATTTTCTAAACATATTTTGTGTCTAATATTTTGCATAAATAGTTGCACATTTTTTGTATACATCAGGGACATTTTTCATACATGTTTATCATTTTTCTAATTCATGATATTTTTTTTCATATGTATGTTTTAATTTCTACTTTTTTCGTAAACATTATATATATATATGTTTATACACGTTTAACATCTTGAAAAGACATGATAAACATTATTTTTCATATATATGTTTTGATGTCAACTTTATTCCACACATATTCTACATTTTTTGTGTACATTATGAACATTTTTAGTACAAGTTTTATATTTTTAGATATATGATTAACATTTTTCATATATATATTTTGTTGTCTCCTTTTTTCCACACATATTGTACATTTTTTGTGTACATTATGAACATTTTTTAATACAGGTTTAATTTTTTTAGATATATGATTAATATTTTTCATATATATTTTTTGTTGTCTACTTTCTTCCACAGACATTGTGTATTTTTTGTATATATTAGGAACATTTCTATAGACGTTTAATTTTTTTAAAATACATGATATATGTGTGTGCTTTTGTTGTCTACTTTTTCAGATACATTGTACGATTTTTGTATACATAAAAAATATTTTTCTATACACGTTTAAGATTTTTAAAATGGGCCACTAATGTTTTTTCAATTATTTATGTTAAGTGATTTTTATAATAGATATATTTCTAATATTTCAAAATATAAGCAAAAGTAAAAGAATCAAGCAAAAAAAAGCTAAAATGTGAAAAAAGAAAAACGAGCGCTTAGAGCCTGTGGTGACCGCTGCGCCGGCTCATTCGACGGCTGCTTGACGCGAGGTCCCCCCTGGAATCTTTCAAGTTCATCACGACAGACAGCTCCAACAGACCAAGCCCTGTTTGGCGCCTTAAATGACCTTTGCTTTCTTTTTTGGGGCATGCTACACGTCGGCAGGCGAATCTTTTAAAAGAAAATTTTGAAGCCTAAAACCGTAGAACAATCGTTCTACGGTATATTTTCATTTATATATAAAAATGAAGGTATAAATCGTTCTACGGTATATTTTCAACATGACGTGAGCCTCGCGAGTCGTTTGATTATGTGACGTGAGCCTTCAGTTCCTCTTCTCCAATTTTCTGCAATGATACTCTTATTGCGAAACCTCTTCTCTAATTTCCTGCAACAAGAACTTGGTTGCAAAATCTTATGTTTTTTAATTTCTTGCAACAAGTCCCCTGTTGCAAAACCTTTTCTTCTCTTTTTTTTTTGCAACAAGACCCTTGTTGCAAAATTTGCAAACACATCTCCCGCCGCGTCTAATTTTTGGTAACAAGACACTTGTTGCAAAAAATGCAACGACGTCTCCAGGCGCATCGCGCACTAACACAGTTCTGCAACAACGTTGTTGTTGCAGAAATTTGGAGTAGATGTACGGCGTGGTGATGCGGCTACTGCTAGCGCTAGTGGTGCCAGGACGGCGATGAGGTTGATGGCGCTCCACGCCGGCGTGGCGGATCATGCTGGATCCATCGATTCGGTCGCTGCTAGGCGTTTGGGGGTGGAGATCCGGCATGGATGCGCTCACGACGACGACCTACACGTGACGACGCTCGGTGATGACAACCTATAGGCGGCGGTGCTCGGTGACGATGACCTACAGGCGGCGGCGCCTACAAGCTGCGACGCTCGGCGACGACGACCTACAGGCGGCGACGCTCGGCGACGAGGACCTATAAGCAGGGGTGCTCGGCTTAGCTCGCGACTTTGGTTGTTGGTCGCGAGTGCTTGGTCTGCAACACCATTTGTTTCAGTCAAGCTAACGGAAACAAGGGGCAAGTTGCAGTAACTGTAATAGGATAGAGATTGCTTCTGAATCTTTCAATCCAAATAAAATCAGACGGCTACGGAGAAGGTCGATGCCCTCACAAATATCCGCCGGTTGATCGATAGTGTTTCCTTTTTTTTAACACAATACAGTACAAAGCGACACACACCGCTCCTCATGTCCGGCCGGCACATTTTCATGTTCTTTTTTCTTTGTTTCAAAAACCTAAAAAAACATGCGCGCGAGCTGTGGAATCCAACCCGCGCCGCGTGAGATCAGTGCTGGACGCAACCACCACCCCGATAACCTCACCTGGCTTATCTACACATACATGTTTCTTCTTCCTTTCTTCACTAGTAATCGTGCACGTGCAATGCACGTCTTGTTAAATTTAATTTTTGGATATGTAAATCATGTCTTAACTATTATTACTTCCATCGTCCTCTCCTCTATCACCATGTTGCTCCACAACATATCGCACATCTTATCCTTGTCACATCTTCTCGCTTCTTTTCTACTACCTTCGTTTCTATTTCCTTCGTGTTATAGTGTAAGACATTTTTTTGATACTATGCACTCATCTTCAAGTGAAAATTCACCTCACATATTATTTGCTTACAGAGGGAGTACATAATATGAAAATATTGTAAGCGTACTATATAAATACACAGAGTATGTGAGGTAAACTTAACATTTAAAATAATCAAACTATACTTTATTAAGTTTCCCTAATTTTCCCCACCGGTGACATGCAAGCGATCCATCACATGAGCGTCGGTGGTACCCCTCAGCAGCAGCGGTAGCTAGCGAGGATAGCAGGCGACTGCCACGATGACGAGCGAGCATGAACATATGGCGTGATGTACTCCTCGATGACCCGCAACATCTCCTCGGCGCTGGTTCTCACGATCACCCAATAAAACTATAATGCACAAACCTTCTGCATTTCAAGATAGATCTCATTTTGTCTATATGGATAACATAACTTCCATTTGCCCCTAGATATCATCCATGTCAAGTCTTGAAGAACAAAAAAATAATACCAAGGTGACAAGAGTTGAAAAGAAAATATATCCACTTGTAGACTTATAGTAAGTAGATCATCACTTGTCACCTACATGACCAACCAAGCAATGGAATGTATGATAGTTTGGCGCAAACCAAATAATAAAAGGGTAGATAATCTTATTGAGTGTGCCTTCAGGTACCAACA